GCGAATCAGCATAGAAGCAGCGTCTAAGTCGGCGCTCAGTTTCACAGACAGCGTCTCACCATTTAAAACACGACTCGTTCGAGTCCAATTATCAGAACCGGGTCGGAACCAGTTATGAAAGAGTTTCAAACAGAATGATGCGTCTTTCTCTCTGCTTACAGCTTAATCACACACACACAGAATTACAATTTCCAGCTTCAAATGAACTTCAACACAATTCTGTATCTTTCTGAACACAACAGCCATGAAATATGTCTTACCAAGGTCAAAACTTGGACGTTTTTTATGTGCCAACATGAAGCGTTTCTCCACGATATCAAGTCACACATAATTTATCTCTTCAGAAAACCGAACGAGCCACCAAAAATGTACTAAGCTAGCTGTTAGCTTCAACAATAGGTGGTGGTGCAAGCTTATTCCCCTTATGGGCCACCAACATGTAGTGATGTTGGGACAGCTTTGCTGTGGACACACTACTAATTAATTATTCTTAAAGCTAGTTCAAGCACAAAGAATATTAATTGTTTAATTAACAACGGATTCTTTCTTTTTCGAGTTAAATGTCTTCCATGTGACCAAGATAACTTGAGAGTGGAGTTTTAATGAGTGACATGAGACGCCATTTTATCTTTGACCCATCAGAATAAATTGCGGTCATTTATTTAACAGAATCAAAATTTAACATCAAAACATGTACACTTGATTTGCTGATCTGTTTCTGATTAATAAACTTGGCAAGTTCAAATAACAACAGAAGATTACTGATGGAGAATGATTCATCTCTGAAGGCACTTAACTTGATTTACTGGCGAATAGAAGTTTAAAGAGAAGGGGTAAAGAGGTTTAAAGATTTAAAGAGGAGGTTTAGATGGATGAAGGAAGATGTGTTGACCAGAAATGGCACCCTTCCTCCGACCCCAGCTCAGCCCTCTGGTACACTCAGTGCGTGACGACTCGTGACGACTCGTTACCGGAGCAGAGGATACATCAGCTCCAGAACAGAGGTCCATTGGCACGCTACCTTTTCAGCATCTCCGGTCAGGGTGGCTGAGAATCTTCTGAAGTAGTTCCATATACTCCGTTCAACAGAATAAGCTTCCTTCGAAGTTGAGAGCATTTAATTCTCGGGGTGAGTCACAGCGAGGCAGCTGAGACTCCGCTAGAATGGACGGACCCTTGGCACATGGTCCAATTCCACCTGTACGACTCGCCATCAGACTGAGACTCCAGTAAGACTGAGTCTTCCAGTAAGGCTGAAAGTTCCAGGAAGACTGGGAAGACTGAATAGTTCCAAGAAGTGTTGACTTTTAAAGGGTATCCACTTCCTGTCACTTGGTACTTCCTGATTGGTTGACACAACCAGCAGGGGTGTAGTTTTAGTGATGTCAGAGGGTTATTAGGAGTCAGCAGACAGCAGAAATGTTTTTAAGAAAGGTTAGTACAGACAGGAAAATATTTTGAAGAAATGACAGACTTTGTAAGTGCCAGTTTCTTATTTACTGTCTGAGTGTTTTAAAAACAAGGCACTTCGGTCTCATAACTTGTGCTCTGACATTTGACCAACATTAAATACACTCCTCATTCAGACAGAAGATTAAAATGCACACTTACTTCGTAAATAGACATTTAACTTGTATGATCTAAGTCTAATGAGGTTTAAAAATCATTAATACTGTTTATCTTGATAATCAAAAGTGTGTTTAGTTCATATAATTTCTAATGTTGAAGTAAACCACTCATTTAAATCAACTGTGAAACTTTACTATTTACTTTACTATTTACTTTACTATTGTAAAATAGTAATGAAAAAAGAAGAGTGTTCTTTCAATTGATTAATTCAGGATACAATTAAACAGTCTCTTGATGAGATAATTTGTATTTCTGGATTCAAATCAATGAAATAACAGTTCCTGTCCCCTGAAGGTCCTCAGAGACAGATTGATGCCGGAGGTCTAGTTCACTACACTTTTAACTCAAATTGAAATATTGGTTTTACAGTTTTTAAGTTATTTGTTTTATTGTTTTTACTGTTTGCTGTTGCATGACATTGGTAGTTCATTACTTTTATGGTATCTGTTGATTTTAGTTTTTTTTAATAGTTGCTTGTATGTGGTAGTGTTAGGGGTGTAATGGTACGCTAAAATCACATTTCAGTTTCGGTTCAGTTTCAAGGAGGGCTTGGTTCGGTTAATTTTTGGTACAAAAAAAGTAAAAATAAAGACTTACAAAATGTTTATTTTGCAAATAATAAGTAAAAAATATGTCTGTATAAAAATAAAAATATATAATTCCCTGAGGAGAAAGAAGACTCAGCTGCTCAGCTCTCGGTGACATCCTCAGATTGCAAACAAAATTAGGTAGTTTTTTTTGAGGTAATAAGATTATATTTTTAAATTAAAAAGTTAATTAGATCACAATAATACAATAACAATACCTCTTCTTGCACGGTCATCATTTCTGATATGAGGTGGTTGAATCTCTCGTTTATCCTCATCAGGACAGGACTTTAAATTTGGGGTCGGGCTTGTTGACGTTATTGAGCATGCACCAGGATGATTTGTTGACGATCAGTTTTAGCTTTTTCATAAAGGGCTGGTACAACTTTTAGGCTGAAGTGTTGATGTGATGGGATGTCATAGGCAGCGGGGCTCAAGAACTGTAATCATATGCTTAAAGCCGGCACATCAACAACAGAATTCAGATGTAGTGTGACAGCCTGATCACTCAACAATAAATATTATGCACATAAAAAATTAATCCACCCATTTATTTTTTCGGAGCAATCATCCTCCGACACGGTGGCAGCCAAGCCCAGCTGTTTCCAGTTGAAACGCCCTTTTTGAGAGTTGTGAAATGAAGCGCGGCAGAGCAGCGAGGGGTGTGTCATCTGACAGCTCGTCTGGAACTGTCAAGACTACTTGAGCTTGGATCACCTGAGGGCTCGTAGGCTCGCAACAGAAGCGTTTCCTTTGGACTGAGTGTCTCTCCCAAGCATCGGTAGCGTGAGTGAAACAAATCAACCTGTTGCTGCGATTGCTGCTGCAGGTTGTTAAACTTTGTGTGCTGCCGAGCACTGTTTGAAACACAAATTAATTGACTGACTATCGCTCCAGCCACGTTCCTCTTTAAGTTAAATAACTGATTATTATTGGATGAACTATTGTTTATTTGTGTGTGTGTAAATACATTCCCAACTTGTTGATATCTGCGGTTGTGGCTGCAGGTTACTGAACTCTGGGTGCCGCTGAGCACCGTGCTGGTTGTGCCTCTGTGCAGTGTTTGGAACTGAAACTAAGTGACTGAATAATGCTCGAGCCATGTCTCTCTTTAAGTTAAAGGATTGATTATTATTGTATGAAGTATTATTTTTGTGTGTGTCGGTGGGTAAAAACATTTGAAACTTGTTGAGAAACGTTGTGGTTGTTAGGTTTTTTTCATTTAATGTTGAGGGTGTTAATCACTTCTGTCTTTTACATCCTTTGTGCGGGTTTTGTGTTCAAGGGTAAACATATAAAATTAAACCTCTTATATGTCAGGAGAGAGACCTGGCTGGCACCCCAAAATCTTGATTTCACATAAAAGTTACAGTAGAACCAGACCTTTAAAAACTCCTACATATTGTGTGTTATTGCTTTGGACCAATCTGAATTACCTGATAAAGGTTGTTTAAATGCTGCTGTTATCGGTCTTTGCACCAAGCTGCTTTTCTTCCTTGTAGAAGAGACGTTCACATTCGAATGATGTCATTTCAAGTGCGTTAACAAGTTAGACGTGTTGCCTGCGGCAGATCCAAACTCCGTGAAACAACGTCGACACACAGCTTTGGATTTGTTCACTTGTCTTTAAACAAGAAAGCCATAATGTTCCCAAACAGGAGACTGCAACGAGAAGCTAGGCTGCTAATGCTACACATTTTTTTTTTCTTTTTTTTTCATTTAGCCTTTATTTATCCAGGTTAGTCTCATTGAGCCACGAGAACTCATTTGCAAGAGAGACCTGTTTTTTAGGGAGCACATGGTGGGGGTTAAGGGCCTTGCTCATGGGCCCAGAGTGGGGCGAATGAGGGTGGGGGCAAGTGTGGGTGTTTCACCTACCCCACCCACAATTTTTTTGATGTTGTCGGGGCCGGGGCGTGAACCGGCGATCTTCGGATCACAAGCCCACCTCTCTAACCTCTGCTGCAAGACTGTGCAACAAAAAATAGTGCCATGCTGAAACACGTTCAGGAACTTTAGTTTCGTGGCGTATAATGTCTCGTTAATAAAATTTAATGTGTGAAAAAAATAACCGAAACGATACGCACGTGAACCGAACCAAACATGCTGTACCGATATGATTCAATACACCCACATGTACAGTTACACCACTAGTTAGTGTACAGTACTTCGGCCAACGGTGTTGTTTTAAAGTGCTTTATAAATAAAGTTGTATTGTACTACACTGTAAGAGGGGGACAGTTAAACATGGAGACCTCCGCCCCTGTTTAATGGACAGTTTCTCTTCACAAAAAAGTGAAGAGAGAGGAGTGAAGGAAGCCATCTTTGTGAAGAGAAATCGTCCATCATTAAACAGGGGCAGAGGCCTTCGTGTTCAACTGTCCCCCTCTTACAACACTGTTATTTCTAGTATCACTCAGCCCCCTGTGAATAGCAAGTGGCCATCAGGGTACTAATGATCAGTTGTTAGGCTGATGGTCCTCTTTTATCATGTGAACAGCTAGCTTTGAATGTCAACAACAAACTGGTTGATCCACTATGACAAGGGGTTATTTATAAGACTGAGTTTATTGCAGCTCCACAGACTGAAGATGACTTTTGGATAAAAGAAAATGTTTCAACAATTTTTGTAAAAATCCATCCAAAGGACCCGACTCAATTTTGTTAGGTGTTTTGGGAAAAGGTCTACTGCTGTTACCTAAAGTACAGATACCATATGAAGCCATGTTGGCATACGTGTGACCAGTTAAATAAATTCAGCAGGTGGTGTCAAACTGTACTTACTCTGAAGTTTGTCCAGCAGCTTTGTTCTGGATGCTGGGCCTTTTCCTTCCCACTCAGCTTTGGCTCTCAGATCGTCCGCATGACTGCACATCAGGTACCTTCACAGTACCAAGACTAAATGTTCACCTGCTGACACAAACACTCACACGACTGGACAGAGAGCCTACAGAAAAATGTTCAAAAAGCTATTTCAATAGGAAAACTAAAATGTCGCTTTGAAACCTTAAACACTGATTAGCTGTCAGTAGAGCTTCAACTACAGACATTATCTTTATCTACTTTTCTCTTTGTAACTACACATGTAGGTCCTATTAATACACCGGAGTGAGACTCAGCTTCCATGTCTTGGTGAACTGACCCACTCAGAATGTGGATACGCTCTGTGTTATACTTGAGGGGCGTGAGTTCGGCTCTGAGGACCTGTAGAGCCTCCAGGACCTTGCCATCCTCCAGATACTCCAGATACTTCTGTTGCAGCAGCAGGAATTTCATCTGCTGTTAAAAAAAAAGATCAATGTATCACTTGTGTGACATGAAACATCATCGCTGAAACTAACAGGGATCACACTTTCAACTGATCTTAAATAATCTCAAGCAGAGATAAAAATGTGGGTTTCTAAAGATGAATGACACTATCAACATGTGAAAAGTTGTGAAAGATTATTTATGAAACTCAACAGGTTTCAGACTTATAAATATTAATTACACAGTTAGTTGTAAAAGTATTCATCCCTCTTAATATTCCATTTAATATCTTACAATATCAAAAAGGATTTTGAATTTGATTACAAGTTTGATTACAAATTTGATTCTACAAAATGGATTTCAGAGTATTGAAGCTACTGAGGAAAAAAAACAAAATAAGAATACAAAAAATACAACTGAAAACTCACGCATGCATATGAGGACTGAAAAACCAGTACTGTGTAGCTCCACCTCTCTCTGTTCAGGTCTGCCACCACAGTCTTGGTCTTTCTACCACTGCAGTTTTTGTCCGTTCTTCATGACAAAACTGTTTCTGCTCCTTAAAGATTGTGAGCTGGATTGAAATCTGGGTTTTGATTGGACCACTCCAAAACATTTAACTGTTTCTCCTTAAGGCGATGCTGAAGAAGCTCAGTCCCCCTGTCTTTAGAAAAGATTTGTCTCAAACATGATGTTGTCTGGTAGCACAGAGGTGCGGCTGGTAGAGCTGTTGCCTCTCAGCGAGAAGGTTGCCAGTTCAAATCCTGGTCTGGGGGCCCTTCTGGGTGGAGTTTCTCCGTGTTTTCTCCATGCATGCGTGGGTTTTCTCCATGTACTCCAGTTTCCTCCCACAGACCAAAAACATGCATGTTAGACTGAATAGAATAGAATAGAAACAGCCTTTATTGTCCCACGGATGGGAAATTCAAGTGTAACAGCAGCAACAGCAGCAACAGATAAAAAGATTTCACACAAAAGTTCCTAAATGTTAATAAACAATACAATATATAAGAAATAAGATAAACAATATCAATAATAATGTTCAATATGTATTGGAACATTGAGAATGGCAGACTATTTACAGTACAGTATTATAGGCAGAGTGTATGTTTAAACAGAGGTCAGCATGTATTTAATCCTTATTGAGTTTGTTGGGAGCAGTGATGGTTGTAGAGTCTAAAAGCTGCTGGAAGGAAGGACCTGCGGTAACGCTCCTTTGTGCATTTAGGATGCAGTAATATGTCACTGAACGAGCTCTCCAGTTCAGCAACAGCTTCATGCATGGGGTGGGAGATGTTGTCCAGCAATGACGTTATTTTAGCTAGAGTCCTTCTGTCTCCCACCACCTGCACTGGGTCGAGGGGGCATCCAAGCACAGAGCTGGCCTTCTTGATGAGCTTATCTAGCTTCTTCTTCTCAGCTGATGATAAGCTGCTGCTCCAACACACAACACCATAGAAGATGGCTGATGCTACTACCGAGTCAAAGAAGGTCTTCAGGAGCACCCCCTGCACTCCAAAAGACCTCAGTCTCCTCAGCAGGTAGAGTCTGCTCTGACCCTTCCTGTAAAGTGCATCAGTGTTGTGAGACCAGTGCATTTTATTGTTCAGGTGAACACCCAGGTACTTGTAAGAGTTCACAATCTCAATGTCCACTCCCTGGATGTTCACCAGGGTCTTTGAGGTGGGTCTGTGCCTGCGGAAATCCACAACCAGCTCCTTAGTTTTAGCAGCGTTGATCAGGAGGTTGTTCTGCTGGCACCAGTCCACAAAGTCTTGAGTCTGCTGTCTGTACTCTGAGTCATCCTCACCTGTGATGAGGCCGACTATGGCAGAGTCATCAGAGAACTTTTGCAGATGGCAGTGTGGGGAGTTGATGGTGAAGTCTGCAGTGTAGAGGGTGAAGAGAAACAGTGTCAGCACAGTTCCCTGTGGGACCCCCGTACTGCAGACCAGCATGTCAGAGACACAGCCCTGTGTCCTCACATACTGTGGGCATCCAGTGAGGTAATCCAGTATCCACTGGGACATGTGGTGATCCACTCCTGATAACTCCAGCTTGTCCCGCAGAAGTCCTGGCTGGATGGTGTTGAAAGCACTGGAGAAATCAAAGAACATCCTCACGGTGCTTCCAGGTTTCTCCAGGTGGGTCAGAGCTTGGTGCCTGAGGTAGATGATGGCGTCATCCACCCTGATGCCAGGCTGGTAGGCAAACTGCAAAGGATCCAACAAAGACCTCATCAGGTGGCGCAAATGGTTGAGGACCAGCCTCTCGAGTGTCTTCATCAACTGATGAAGTGACTGATTGGCAACTATAAATTGTTCCTAGGTGAGAGAGAAAGTGTGAATGGTTGTTTGTCTCATTTGTCTCTACCCTGTGATGGACTGGAGACCTGTACAGGGTGTAGGGGTGCAGAAAAAAAATCTGATTTTTCAATGAATCTAGATTCTTAGTCCTGGCGATTCTGAATCGTTTCTAAAGGTCCATAAATCAATTTTAAAATGCATTTAAGTTTTATATTTTTTCCACTCCTACTCCCCGTTCGGCCGCCATAGAATTGAGCCGTGTAGCCCACCGTACAGCAAGCTAGTTAGCCAGCTCCCTTTATCTGAATGGAGCCTGCTAACATGGAGGACAGTGCAATTCAGTCCGCCTCTTTGTCGTTAAAAATCATTTTAGATCCTACAATGTTCCGGGGGAAGACAGAGCTTAACAAAAGCACTGTTGTTTACAAGAAGCGTAAAATAAAATTGTGATACAGTATTTTGGAAATACGACAAAATTCACGGAAGATAAAAGCAAAACAGCCGACCAGCGAACTCTGCAACAAACTTCCAGGCTTCTCCAAAGGCTGTGAAGATTTCCCTCTCTATCTCCTGATATATCACAAAGGATTTACGATTAGACAGCTCAGTGGAAGGTGAGGGGTTTAGTTTTATTTTTAATATGCTGGATTCAATGTACGTTATTCCTTCACGTAGATTTTTATTTTTTTTTTTGCTATAAAGCAGCACCACAACTTCACCATGAAACAACAAATGGGAGAAGCTCTGATGTAGCTGCAGCTCAAAGGTAACTGTTATTTCTCATATTAAATTAAAACTTATAGACAAGTTATACAACAAACTTAATGTAATGTGTCTTTTTAAAAGGTTGAAGAGGACAGATGAGACATCACCTGGAGCCAGTTCAAAATGATACAATTTATGGTTTATAAATTATAGTTCAGAAGAGGTTTTTGTGCAAACTTGCACAGGTTTTGAAATTTTGTTAAAGATTTATTAAATATGAATCAATATGGTTAAGACTGAAGTCTGTATATTTCATATTAGGTTAAGTTTTGAAAATATAACAAATGTTAGAGCAATGTGGTTAAAAATAAATGTGAAGTCTGTATTCTATGTATGGTAGGCTGAAGTCTGTTTACTTTTATATTTATACATTTTGAATTATTTGTCTGCGATTGACTGGAGACCTGTCCAGGTGTCCCCCGCCTCTCACACAATGATGGCTGGATACGGGCACCAGTGACATCCGTGACTCGAAAAGGAAGAAGTGGGTAAAGATGATGGATGCATGAATTTTTTTATTTTTAGAAAAATTCAGGCAACTAAGCTAACCTAATACTGGTAATTTAAGTTACAGAATTTTATGCACTCCTATATTTTTGGTATAAATATAAAATGAATCAAAAAGATATGATACAGTAAGGAAACTAAAATGATTGTTTTAAATAAATGTTCTATTTATTTACATTGTTGTTTAATTTTTTCAGCTTGTCAGTTACATATATATTATAATTGAAACAAAAAATGTATGACCATGTCAATTAAAAAATCGTTTCTGAATCGAAAATCGTTTCCAAATCGAAAAATCAATTTTAAATCGTATCGTTAGGATAGTTCAACAACCCAACTCATTGGGGCGATGTAACCCAACTGATTTGTTTTTCTCTACAATTTTTCCTCTGACCACAGAGAGATCCAGTGTCTATTCTTTGTTGGTAGTCCATATTACTTAGGCAACATTCACACTGCTAGTTTTAATGCTCAATTCATGTTTTCTGTTAAGATCTTATAGTTTGGTGTGGTTCTTGACACGATCATTTAAGGCCCTATTTACACGGACACGATGGGGGGAAACATAGTTTTTTTTGTATGTTAATTAGAGGAAAAGATCCGCATTGACACGATCGAATTTTGTGTTTACATGCATCTGGAAGAATCCCCCCCACGCTCCCAAATTTGGTGTAGTTACCATGCCAGGTCATTAGATGGAGCTGTGAATTTTGTACATTCACCTATGCCCCTTTTCCACCGTCACAGAGCGGATCAGATCAGTTCGGGTTGGTTCAGATCGGTTCGGGTCTGTTGTGTTTCCATGTACATTTCTGGACCGGCTCTGTAGGCGGGGACTAGAATCCAACTCGTCTTACCACCTGGTGGCGGTAGTGCTCCCTTAAGCTACTTACTAGCCACCACTAAACGTATTAGAAGAACACCCAGAAGGTTTTGTCACATGATGTTGTGGAAAAGATGTCATGCTCTAATGGAGTACCTCATGAGCTGTAACTTATAAACCTGATTCATAATCCTACCTTACTGCCTTCCCTGCTGCTTTAAACCCATGTGTTTTTCATTTTAGTATAGATTTTTACAATAAAGATGTATTAAAAATATCTTCACTTTTATTATTTGCAGATATGCACAAGGTTCATGTTAAAATTACAAAACATCACACTGTGCTGTAATCTTTGAAACTGCTTTTACAATAAGATACAGACTTGAAAACAATTAGATTAAATTTTGTCCTTGAATTTTAAAGATTTGTCTTTCATTAAATTAAAACGTAAATTTATTACTTATTAATCTAAAAAAGTCTGGTCCTCTGGACATTCAAAAAACAAAACTAACAAAAAACATTTAGTTTATTTATTATAAACTGTATTGTTTGTTTTGTGAATGTCCAGAGGACCAGACTTAACTTTTTAGATTTTTCTACCTGGATTATTGAGCAGCATCAGGATATTA